CTGTCCTTCAAGGATGACACGGCTCTTCCGGGCTCTCACTTGTTCACGCAAGGCTGATTCAAAAAACATGTTGGCAGAAGATGTTACGAACCTTTCAAAATCTCTGTTCATACTGTGGCACTTCCTCCTCTCCATCCTCAGGCAGGAATCACACAGGTCTGGACCACGTTCCCCAGCCCTGGAGCCTCAGCAAGCAGAAGCTGGTGCCTAGCAGCAAGTCGTCCCAATTACTTCTTTTGAAAACACTTTCACCAAATAGTTGATTAATCCTACAAAGTGCTCACCCCAAGCACTGTGTGCCACGTACAAGGATCGTGCGCCCACCACCTAGGGAGAGGATGAGGTCTGAGCTCCTCCCACAAGCCTTAATGGCTGAGGGGAAAAGGGATGTTATCAGGAAAGGCAATGCTTATACTGGGGAAAAAAGTCACATGATATAATTCTCATCCATCTAGATTCCTCATACGCAAGACATGGAAACAAAAAGACATCCTTACGCTCTTTTTATATGGAATTTTCATCAGAAAAATGGAAAGCATGTTAAAAAAAAATAGGAAGGATGTTGGGAATCTTACCAAAGATGCCTTAAATCTCTTAGCATGCCTTACCAGCTCTGTTAGCCCACTGACTGCCTGGACCCTGTGCCCTGGAGCTCAAGGGAAAAGGCAGCTGCACCCAGAGCAGGTTTTTCTCTAGGCAGTGTTCACACAGCTGAAGCAAAGACACAAGAGAAAGTGCTGGTGGTCCTGAATGCTTTTCTGAGCAGCTGCAAGCAGAAATGGTTTCTCCCACAGTTTTTTGGAATAGCATCACAGTAGTGTGGCTGCCAGCACAGCCACAAGATCCCCACTTGACGATGAAGGTTTGCATCCAAGGGGACACTGGAGCACACTCTGACATGGCAACCCATCCTCCTCTGGGACAGAAACCACTCAGTACTGAACCTACAACCACCCATGACAACCTTGACGCTGCCCCTTGGTCCCGCCTGCCCAAATAATTCAGTAGTAACTCTCCACCTCCACGCACCCCACTACAACCACGTATTTTTCCCAAGTGTTTAGCAAATGTAACCTCTGTGTTTTATACCTTTCAGTCATTGATCAAGCTGATGTGTTTCTCTTTTGGACAAATAGTCATTACATCTGAAAGTTTATGACTGGGCTTTGAAGTCAATGTTCTCTGAGATGAAGGAGAAAGTTCACACTTCTATTGCTTCCAGTCCCTCTGGCTGCAGACCAGATAAGACAGTGATGCCTTCAATTTGAAAGTAATGAGTATTTTTGGAGACAGAAAAGCCAAAAGACTTCTTAATGTAATAATGGCTTGAATAGTGCTATAGTGCTCAGCAAAATGCTGGAAAAGGAGGGAAATGAATCCAGGAAACCTATGGGTGCCTCAGACCTGTTATTTCTCTGTTTACTGTCTAAGTTTCCTGTAAGGTTGTGTTTTCTTTCCTCCACTTTTGCTGTTGTTGCAACCACATTGACTCAGGTTGTTCACAAGCCACTATTTTCTGCCAACAACCTGTGGGGAAAAACAGCGTCTGCAGACAAAGAGTTTTTTCCTGAGTATTAGCAGGTCCCTCCCTCTAATTGTCCATGAATAGGTAAAGAAAATGCTGTTTTACAGCACATTCCATTAACAGGCAAGAACAAGTGTTTAATCTGGAGAGTGTTAAGGTGTCCAGTTCCTTCACACTGGTTTGGAAATTGCAGCCTCAGTGTGACCTTTTCAAGCCTCCTTCTTATCCTTCTTCCTAGTGCAGTATCAGCTAAGCCCGAGGGAGCTGGATCCTCCAGCCTTCACTGGGAGAAGGCTTTTAGCATCTCTGCCTGAGAGGATTTCAAGAGGCACTCTGTACAGAATGCACAGAGCCAGAGTATCACTGCCTGCAAGCTCCAGTGGGAGTAAGCAAGGCTGAAAGGACTTTGGAGAGTTCCCAACGTTGGTTGGATGAGGCTCTGGAAAACCCCATCCCTCTCCAAAGATGGTAGAGCCACCACCTGAGTAGATGTGCCTGTGCATGCCTACATCCTGCTCCCCTGCCCACCATATCCCTCTGGGCCTCTTAACTCAGAAGTGGCTTTTCCATTTGACCCCACCAGTCATGAGACAGGCCAAAAAAAGAAATGCTAGGGACATCTACATGTACGTCTCAGCTGAGGTTATCTGAACCTGTGCTAGGGAGATGTGAAATGTAGTTATGAAAGGAAATCCTGCAGAGCGTGCACAGGTATCCCTAGCACTTTGATACTGCTAACAAGTGGATGCTTGTACAACTAAAATACCTTCTGAAATGTGATTTACAAAATGCAGAGATTTTTAATAATTTGGAACTGAATTACATTCCTGGTGTAGTATGTTAGAGGAAGGATCAGCGTACTGCAGCTCACAGCTGGGCAGCTAAACCCACTTCTCCCATTCATTTAACTGTCTTTGATTTGTTTCTCCTAAATATTCAGCTGAAATTCAGCTGGCTGGCATCGGCCATGTTCAGATCAGTAAGGTATCATAGGACAAATGCAGTGCTCTTTGTTAAGTACAATTTGGTACCTGACTGGAGGGATTACAGGCCCCCACAGCAAACCCCACTTTTTCCTCCTATTGCAGAGGACAAGCGCTGCTGGGAACTAACAGCCAAGCAGCACAAGGCCCTCAAGCCTCCCTGGCACAACCACAAGGATCATTCAGAAAATCCCTCCAGGAGGTGATAAAAAACACCAGGGTGCCACCAGCATCCCCCAGACCAACTGACAGTCCCTCTATCACTGCAGACCTGCAGCATCCTTTGCCAAAAGCAGTAGTTTCCTTTCATTGACATCTGTGCTGCTCATTTGCCTCTGTCAGAATGACCAAGTGACTGGATGGGCTCTGGGGGATTTCTGTTGATCCTCCTCCATGTCTTGGCAATGGGATCTGCCTCACTGAACACTCAAGAAATTACTCCCTCCTTTATTTTACTCCATTTAATCTTTTGCTAGATAAATTCGACTTACTGTTAACTGTGCCACCCGACAGCAGAGGTTATGTTTGCTGCTGGTTTAGTTTCCAAGTAATTTAAATAAACAACTGAACCATAAGGAGAAACTATTAAACATCCTTTTCCCCTGAACATCATGATGTGCCAGGCCATTAATATTTCTTTATCACTGCAAACTTTGAGGCTCAAAATCCATGCCTTGGATTGTTGAACAGGATAATTATGAAACATTTTCAACTACTGAGCTAATGAGCACTAAATCCTGCATTGTGGTGAATGTGATGTTGTGCGAGTTTCCTCGAGAAATTTGGGCCTGCAATTAAGCAGGGAGGTATTACATCTTCTAAGGTGACATCAGCCACTCTTGTCCTGATATTAAAAGGCAGCCAATGCCCCTTCCAGTTTTCCCAGGCAATCAGCAGACAGAAAATCAGTGCTGTGCTTGGGAACATCAGCATCAGGAGGTGCAAAGGTGGTTGTCCTGCTACAGGTGTCGAGGCTAACCTCTGGGAACAAGCCCCAGTATAACACCCCCTCTCTGTCAGTGAATACCCAGTCTTTCCTTCAGAAGCACCTATAAGCACTTGGCAGTGTGGTGCCACACTGGGGGCATGATGGATTCATCTCCCCCCTCAGGGGAATTTGGGGATTGGAAGCCAGATTAGGGGCTTTGATGATTTTCGCTCCTTCCTCTAGGGAAGGCAGGGCCAGCAGGAGGAAGGGGCTGGATACCAGAGGCACTGGAGCATCCCTTGGAGTATCCGTGGCACCAGGACATCCCATTGTGTGGCTTCTGCTTGGCTTGTGCTGCCTGCTCACTCTCATTTTCAGAGGGTGGCATATCTGAAAGCAAAGCTCTGTACTCCTCGGAGGAGACACTCTGGAGAACACTAGCCTGTTCCCCAACTCCAGTGCAAAGTAATTTTGTTTCACCATAAAAAAAAATCTTACTGCCCAACACGAAGCAGGTTTGGAACAGCCCCTGAGAGGTGCAGAGCTCTGCATCCCATTAGGGCTGCCTGGAGGAAGCTGGACACAGTTTTTATTAAATCAAGTTCAGTCGATGCTTAAAGAAGGGCTTTTTTGAACTAGGAGCTGAACCTCATGTTTGGTGCCCTGCCAAGCTCAGGATAGTGTGAGGAGGAAAAGGAGATGTATTTTTGGACTGCATGTCTGCGAACAGGCTGTTAGATAAAATTAAAGAGGCTGTTTATAAAGAATCTGCTGGTGCTGAAGCAGATGTGGAGGCCCTAGTTTACGACAAGATATATTTCTGGAGTTGGCATGAACAATCAATTTCATTCAGGACTTTCCTCATGCTGTAATGATTTGTTGGTTTGGGTTTGATTTTTTTTTTCTTTTCATTATTTTAACTGAAGCTGGCACAATGCCCTCATTACTTGTGATAAACTTGTTTGTTTACTTATGTCGTGGTAACCGGAGAGCTGGACTTAGGCTCTGCTTCCTTGGATGCTGTTCGCTTCCTACCAGAGCATTTGGGGTTGTTTGACACTGGCAGCAAAGCAGAAATACACCATTTCCTTATTTTCTTGCCGTGTTGCTTGTGGATGATGAACACTTTGGCTCCCCCAGGCTCCTGAGCAGGCAGCCATAAGACCTTCTCTTACTGAAACCCCACAGCACAAGGACCCCCAGCCCTGCTCATGCCTGGCAGGCACAAAGGCAAAATACCTTTACAGAAGTCAACAGAGCTACTTCCTAGAATCACAGAATGGTTTGGGTTGGAAAGGACCTCTAAAGGCCATCTAGTCCAAACCCCCAGCAATGAGCAGGGGCCTTGAATGTCTCCAGGGATGGGGAATCTACCACCTCCCTGGGCAGATCCCAGAGCAAACATCTGAGTGTTCTTCTGAACTGATGTTATTCTTTACTAAGCTATGTTTACCATCCAAGAAAATGCTTTGGTTTGTGCTTAATTTTACATGAATACATGGAATGTGTTTATTAGTTACTCTTACACTCTTACAGTGTTTTAAAAACATTCTGCTTTCCTCAGCATTGCAGGCAGCAAAGGCATTGCTGTGCTTTTACAAGAAAAATCAAGAGCGCAAGAGCACATTTTGAAGTGAAGGCACATTGTCAATAATTATGCACGGTTTGGGTTTGTGCTGTCTTGCCACTCATCCTTGGATCCTACACTGAGTCCTGACTTTCTTATGGCACAGATAATAACTTAAAAGAAAGAAACCCAACAGAATTTCCACGATCTATATCTACAGCATCACACATGGAAGACATAACATTTGATGGTAAATTTTTGCTTTGACGTTATAGTAGAAGTTAAGGGAAAAGGTGTCATCCTTGGCCTAGAGTTTCATAAGTGCCACAGGCAGATGGGCTCTTTTAAACCTTCTTCTCCTCTTCCAAAAGGAGAAACTCACAATCTGGACTCAATTGAACCTTAAAGCCATAAAATTCCAGGTTCCAATAAATCTTCATTTTATATAAACACATCCAGCATATATCATAACAGAAACCATAAAAGAAATTAAACATGTGTGGGTCACATACTCTGTTGGATGCTCCTTAATAGTTTTGCAAAATCAGTGGAATAACGAGGTGCAGTTTTGCTCTATGAAGTTATGGTATCTCCCTGCAGCACAGTTGGGCTGCCCAGGGTGCCCACCCAGAACATAAGCAAACACATGGGGGAGGAGCTGGCAGCTCCACTCCCACATCTTCTTCATCCTTTCCCAGTGCAGATAAGGTGGGCTGCAGCCAGCATCACCAAAGGCCCAAGGCCTGTCCTTGGCTTCAGATGCTGGAGTGATGGCCTGCTCCACACGGCCCAGTGGGCATCCCACACATCTTTCCTTTGGGAGGCCCCGCAAAGTGGGCATTTGCTCCACCAGCCCCAGTGAGTGCCAAGGCCATGGTGAACAAAAGCACTGTAAAATCAAAGGAAAGGAAAAGTAAAGCGATATCTGGGGGGAGGATATGCCTGCCTATTCCCATGAAGTGGAAATGCAAAGCAAAACCAAAAGGAGCTGGGATCACACTGCAGAGGCTTTAACAAGGTCTTTTTCAGGGCTTTAAAAAAATTATTCATATGATGTAATCTTGACATTTCCTGTCTCACTGGTGAGTTCCTCGGATCAAACACCCGGAACACCGGCAGCTTGTCACCACCTCGTGCAGCTCCTATTACCCGCGGCATCCCGTGGGACACAGGAGGAGAGAGGCGCAGGGGTCTGGGACAGCAGGCAGCATCCTGCACCCCTCTGCCTGTGCTCCTCCTTGCCCTGGCTGGGTGATGCACTGAGCACACACCTTCCTTTTTAGAAATTCCCCTTAATTTTGAGGGTTGAGGTTTAAGGCTCTCTGCCAGAGGTCCTGCACCCAGAAGCCTTGGCAAGGAGACTAAAGCCTGTGAGGACCCTGGCAAGGACAGACCCTCAAACTTTATAACAATATATAATCTATGTTTTTCAATCTATTGTATAATGGCAATTATACAAAATTCCAGGTGACTTGCTGGAGTAGTCATGACCAAGTCCAAAAGCAAGCAAAGCTCTATAAATTTTGGGAATCTTCTCATCATGAAGATTCATCAAGGTTCTGCTAGCAGAAGCTGAAACTAGAAAGTTAGGGGGGAAAGGGAAAAAAAAAATCCAGCACACCTTATTAGCATTTTGTCAAGCATTGGAACAGGCTTCCCAGGGAAGTGGTGGAGTTGCCAACCCTGGAGGTATTTAAAGATGTGTGTTGTGGCACTTTAATCCTAGATTTGGCAGTTCTGGGTTAACAGTTGGACTCAATGGTCTTAAAGGTCCTTTCCAACCTAAGTGATTCTATGATCCTTTGATTTTATGGAAGTATTTCAGTTCATATTCAGAGCTCATTTAACATCTTCTTATTCTCCTGAATTCGAGGTCTCAGGGAAAATGCCTATAAGAGCAATGGGATGTCTGTCCAGGAGGTTCAAAACCGTGGGTCGGAGCAGCATTTCCTAGCTGTGGAATGTGACAAGACTGCCATGGAGTCTCAATACCAGGATGAACAGTGGGCAGGTAGGTGGTGCATCCTGGGTTTCCAAAAGGAGCCCCGAGAGCCCCACTCAACACCTGCCACTCATGGGGATGGGGGGACAATGGGGCCATGTGGGTGATGGACCCATTGGGCTGGCAGGGATGCAGTGGGGGAAAGTCCAGGAGCCAGGTCATCTTGTACCGTTATCTCTTTGCAATTCTCTGACTATCCAGCACCACAAGCATCCCTGCATTTTCCATCAACCCCTGGAAATGGAATACATTAAATCTGGCAGCTCAGTTACAACAACAAAATATGAAAGCACAGTCTTACTTACGCCCCACTCTGACCACTGCCCCCAGCAGCGTCGCTGGTATAGGTAACATTTTGCAGTTCCTGGTCTCAGGGTACCTGCTTCAAGTCACAGAATCACAGAACATGTTCAGCTGGAAGGGACCTACCAGGAACATTGAGTCCAACTCCTGGCCCTGCACAGGACAATCCCCAAGAGTCACACCATGTGCCTGAGAGTATTGTCCAAACACTTCTTGAACTCTGTCAGGCTTGGTGCTGTGACCACTTCCATGGGGAGCCTGTTCCAGTGCTCAACCACCCTCTGGGTGAAGAACCTTTTTCTAGTATACAACCTAAACCTCCCCTGACACAACTTCAGGCCATTCCCATGGGTTCTGTCACTGGTCACCACAGAGAAGAGATCAGTGCCTCCCTCTCCTCTTTCCCTCACGAGGAAGTTGTAGACTGCGATGAGGTCTCCCCTCAGTCTCCTCTTCTCCAGGCTGAACAGGCCAAGTGACCTCAGCCAATCCTCACACAGCTTCCCCTCAAAGCTGTTCACCATCTTTGTTGTCCTCTTTTGGATGCTCTCTATGAGCTCAATATCTTTCTTATATTGTGGTGCCCAAAACTGTACACAATATTCAAGGTGAGGCCGCACCAGTGCAGTCGGCTCCATCGTCATCACAGCTCCTCCCTCCCTCACAGCAACTCGCTGGCACGTGATGAAAATCATCTGTGTAGAATGTAAGTCTTCTTGAAGGAGTGGAGGGTTTTTTTATAGGGATGAACTATTGAGTCAACCTCAGTATTTCACTGCCCTGAGGAACTGCAGCTTTTTGGAAAATCATTCTTTTAACCACATTTGCTGTTGGCTGCATTGGCAGTGTGTGGTTGAGTCAGCCAGTGCCACACAGATTCCATGATCTCCCAAGGCTGTCAGTGTGCACATCCTCATGGGAAAATGCTGGGACAGAATCAGTCTCTCCAGCTCAGGGGATGCCACAACCACAGGGGACTCAGCAGGTCACATGGCAAACCCACATCCTGACTTGAGATCCTCCAACATCTGCTGTAGTGGGTAGAAGGATTAAAAACACAGACTCTTCCCAGAATTTGTTATCTGGATCTCCAAAGACTGTCCAAATTTGGTTTGCTCAGGAGCTCTCTATTATTAATTACCCTAAAATGAATAAAATCAAAGGCAAGCAATGAAGGACCTGTCTGGGAAGCACTCATACCATGATGAGAGACTCCAGGCAGTTCTTCCCCACCTTCTCTTCCTCACCATGGAACCACTGGCAAATCAGACGTCTGGAGATGAGTCACCTGGAGGCTGCAAGTGCCAGGGGATTGGGTTGGTGGGACCTGCAGGGGTAACCCTTCTTGTCTTGGCCAGGATGGACCTGGCAGGCTCAGGCTGGCAGCACCTTTGCTGTGCGTAAACAGGGGAGTTGCAGTTTAGAGGTTAATGCAATTCCCCTCTTAGAAAGTATTTAGAAAGGGCATTTAAAAGGGTATCACTGACTAGTTTAATGCAGCATCAGCGTAGTTTTAGAGGTAGTATTAAAAAATTTTAATTTTATTATTAAAAAGAATATATATTTTGATTTCCATGCAAACAGGGTAAGTAATTGATGGAGGATGTTGCAACCCGTCCAGTGCAGCCCTGCACAGCAGAAAGAGAAAGTGAAACAAATCCCTCAGTGCAAGCTGTAAAGCCTTCAGGCAAGCAGGGAGACAGCAAGGCCAGGAGCCTTTGGCAGTGCTCCTGCCTGCCTGCTGCCTGCTGCCTGCTCCCTGCCCGCTGCCTGCCCCGGGCCGCCAAGGCTGGGTAGCGGAGTTATTAGCAGAGATTAGTTAAGCTGCACCACTGCTTTGGTTTCCTAGACTTGTATTCACATAATCCTCCAAGTCTTGTATTAACACACATTGGTTGGGTTTGGTTATTAGCTTAATTATATCACATGTTCTGGCTTTTTATATTCACTTAGAGACGTATTGTGGTATTTTCAGACTTTGGTCACTTCAATTTTATTATTACAGGTGGCTCAAATAAATTTTCACTAACTTGTTCATGTATACTTTTTAAAGAGAACAGTAAAAAGAACAGTTTAGAGCTTTGTTGGAGTTTTTGAATAAGGATAAGGAGCAGCTTCCCTATCAGTTGTACAATTATGGTCTCCACTTCACTTCAACCCTCACATTAAATGCATCATTCCAAGGCCAGAAAAATCAACTTACCTGACAGATGCAGATATTCGGATACACAAATCAACTATTTATTACATATATTTCAGGTCATTTGAATTGTGTTACACATCCCCATTTCCACATTTCTTTCCTGTGTTTTGCTTCACTGAAGTGCTTCACAAAGCTGTATGCATGTAATCTGCCTCACACAAACAACTTTCCAAGGTTAATTTATTACCAATTAATTTGAGGTGCTCAACACCTTTGCAAAGACTGGGGTGAATGCTCGAATTCTACAGCTGAAAATCAAATACAGGTTTTACTGTATTAATCAATAGTCTGATTTAAAAAAATAAATAAGGAACATGATTAGTAATCTTTTGGTATTTGGATACCGACCCAAAAGCAAGTGGAAAAGGGAGAAAGCCTAATGACCACAACCCTTTTTAGGAGCAAAGCTACACAACGTGCAGCACAGTAGGTTCTCTCTGAAGCATTTTTTAAAGTCTTCTGTGGGACAAAGGAGTTGTCCTGAACTTTTATTGTTTTAAAATTAATGTGAAAAAATGGGAAAATAGGGAGTTTCCTCTGCAAAAGTCATGGACCAGTGATTAAGCACAGGGGATATCAACTTGAATTCAACTTTTGAGAGCACTGAACAGAGAAAAGTCCATGTAAAATTCCCAGTTTGCAAGTTTACCTTTGAAAAACCACCTGCGGAGCCTCCTCTGCCTTTTACCCTTTTTCATTAAGTCCAGGTGGTCATGGTGCTGCAAGATTTTTGCACGCTGCAGGCACGAGCCATGGCTTGGAGCAGTGCTCTGGGATGTGTAGTCTCCTTGTTTATATTTCAGTGCTACGCATGATTAATCCTCCATTTCATTCATTGTCTTTTTACTTCTCTGCTACTGGGAACAGTAAATAAGAGGGAAGTTGTAACAAGAGCCTCCCTTTTATTCAGAGACCTTTTGTTTCCTGCAGGCTGGCGGCTTTGAAAAAAATCACAGCTCCATTGTGCTCCAAAGGCATATTGAATGATTCAGATGGAAAGAAAAGCCCACGTCAGTAGGAACAGGGGACTCAAATACGAGCGTTGAGGCCAGCAGAGCAGAGGCATCAATCCCAGGCAGTAGCACATCCTGGCAATGCTGCACCCTGTGACAGCACTGACATTATGGTTTCCCCCTCTCTGTTGTGGGTGTGTGGAAGGCAGGTGCTGCTCCCGGTATTAGGGGTGTCCCTGAGCACCCCTGGTACCACAGGAATGGCACTGATTGCCTGAGGGTGGTGGGGCAGCAGGACAACACTCCTGTCCTACCTGGGGAGTGCAGATCCAGCCTCCAGCAGCTGGGGGGGGAGGTGAACTCACTGCTTCCTCCTGGAGCAGGGCTGGCAGCAGTGGATGTCAGGCAGGGCAGGAGGAAGGGGATACGGTCACCACCGAGTGACCCCTAGCAGAGGCAGAACCTCAGTGCTCCTGAGTGGAATCAGAGCATGAAGTGCTAGACACGTTATTGCTGCCACTGAACATCTGGTGCAAATGCTCCCCAAAAATAGATAATTTCCTTCTTCCACCTCAAAGGAAACAGTGTTGGAAGGAGTCTCAGTCATAGCTGGGCTGGTGCAAGGAAGGGTCCCTGCCATAGGTGGGTTTACTGGCAGCCTCCTACTTGGAGACTGTTACACCTCCTGGCGAGTGACTCTTGGACCAGCCATCAGTCCCAGGTAGGATCCAAGGGGTTAGTCCTGTGAAATGCCCTGACACCCACATAGGTGCTGTGACTCTCAGCCCCTGCCTCAAAGTACGAACCCACTAGCACTTTGCCACTGGTGGGTGACAAAGCAAACCCAAAGCCTTCAGTCCCAAAAACCTGCTGTTAAAGCTGCTCCTGTGCTGAGGGGCTCAGGCTGTGATCAGTCCTCACCTGCATTTCCCAGTTCCAGTTTTACATTACAGTGCTAGTTCACAGCACCTTCCTTATTGGCAGGCATCAGTAGAAATGCGTGTCAACAAAACCGAAGCGAGTGTAAGCGCTGCTGCAGACAAGTCTAATAAAATATGAGTCACTGTTATTCAATCATTTACCAGCGCACGTTCTACAACAAAGTTCTCTCCTCTAGGATCACCACCACACAAATTTGAGAGTTTTTTTTTTTAAAGAGAACTGTGATTTTACTTTTAACTGCGTAGCTGAGTCTTCAGAGGGCTGGTGCCTGTTATCCCTGCTTGCAGCCCGGTGCTCTGCTCCCTGTGCATCTGACATTTTCAAGCCAGGTGTGCGGCACCAAGCCCTGGCACGACCCATGACTTGTGCTCGGCATGGTGTGGCCATGGGCAAGAGTTCCACATCGTCCTTCCTCCTGGCAGTTTTCACGCCTCCCCACCACCAGGAGCGAACAGGCAGCAAGGCAGGGGCTGCCAGGGAAACCCCCCACTCCAGTTGCCATCAGTGGCCCTGCACTGCTGCACGCCTTCATCATCTGTAGTGCCACTGGTTGGTGTTTAGGGATAGGCATTTTCCCCCTGGGCTGGGATGGTTTTTAATTTTTGGTAACAAATGCACTTGACAAACATGGCAGCACATGTCCTTAGTTTCCCCTCCGTAAGCCTAATTTTTTGAATGGCATCTTGCAAGAAGCATTTAAATGGTGACCTCTTGCTACTGTAAGATATGTGGGGAGATGGTCCTTTCCAGGCATTCAAGCTGTAGTGCTTGGTCTTTCTTGTTTTTACCAGGGAACTTTTGGGAGGTCAGAAATATAGGAATTGAGGTTTTGCTGCCTTAGCAGGTGAAAGGCTGCTGGAAGCATGCAGATGAACTTCCTTTGTGCCAAATGACTGTCATTTAAGTCAAACACTTTTTAACAACAGAAGCAAGATTTTAAAAGGGCGTAGCTAAAAACCCCCACATTTGCTTGTCCTCCTTGCTCTGTGCTGCTGTGCTATCTCTCCGCTTAGCTTGATCTTGAGCACTCCTGCTGCAGGGAAGGCTTGAGCTTCTGATGTGGCAAACAGGTAGACTAAGCTAATTTAGCGCTTAAGTCTTTTATTCCATCATAAAGTGGGAAAAGGGAAGGCTCTTCTCTCTTGCGGGTCACCTCTAATAGCAATTGCTTCAGCAAGATGGATTTCAAAATTAGGTGCTCTTGAAGCAGAAGCCACACTGTATTTTTCAGCAGCACAAAGCAGCCGTAAGAGCAATCTGACCTTCATTCTTCATAATAAATTCATTGGGGGAAAAAATCCATCTTTGTTTTTCAGCTTGAAGTACTGTCAAAAGAAAAGCCGGGGCACGACATATACAAAATAAAAAGTACAAGACAACTTCAGCAAAATGATAAAAAACTCTCAGAGATTTACTTTTCCTGTTTTTTCTTATTCCAGTATCGGAAGAAAGTCTGACAGCTTGTCTACAAGTACATTATTTTGGAATAAAGGCTGGTGTTAATTTAAAGTGAATCTATTCTAGACTAAATTAATACCATCTCAAAAGTGGTTTTCAGATGTAGGGTGCAATCCAGTAGCAAAGTCTGAGGAAAACACATACCCACACTTAGGTACCATGTTGGACTAACACATTTGTAAAACGTCCCTTAATGTATTTCAGGTGCTAAAATAATGTCTACTGCAGCCTGACAAAGGAAAATGGCACACACTGTTATTTTCTTCTAAAGCAGCCCCAAAAAGATGTGATCTGTAGTCAAGGGCAGACCTGTAAGCTAAAGAATATCATAAAGCAATGTTGTTTGACAGTATTTGGCATTTTTGTTATTAATGAAACAACTGGTACATTTGAGTCCTAAAAGCCTGTAGCTAGTCAGTTGCTAATGGTACAGCATGGAAACAGTGAAAATTAATCGTCTCTGGTATTAAATACTATCTTTGTATTTTGCCATGTCTCTGTTACAGACACTGTATTGAATAACACATTATAACCCAACAGAGCACATTGTCTTTATTCCTTTAATCTCCTGTCAGGCATAGCTGGGAAGGCAGAATGGGAATGTTTACTCTAACAGGTCTAACCCTTAGGCTAGCAAGAATTAGGAGAGCTTTTTTCCAAGCTGAGCTTGTCACCCATCTAGAGAACCTAATGCTGTGGCTGCAGTCTGCCTGGCTCCTCTTCTGGAGGAGTCACTGAAATCCATCTTGCCGCTTTCTAGCAAGCCTAAACCCAGCTATTACTCAGTCCTTCTCATCCTTCACGTTGGGCTGGTTACACTGATAAAAGCAGCTGTGAAGAGACTCAGTGTCGGCAGTGCCAACAGCACCCTAATTAGGCTGCAGAAATCAGCCACTTTATACCCATTAGTTTAGCTTTGCAGGGGCCCATCTGCGTGGACAGAAACTTTTTGTGAAATTAGCTCAACTTTTTACTACGGCTGGTGTGATTGCTGAAAGCTCGGCAGAAGAGATGAACACTGCCTCTGTTTAGTTAAACCAGTTTAAAGTTACAGAGTGTACCTAGATGGCAGGTGGCTGCAGCTGTACCTCCTTTCAGGACCAACTCGAGATAAAAAGCCATAAAATCATTCTGGCTCCATTTGGCATTCAAGGTATCATTACTACCACTTATTAACATTCAAGTTCTCTCCAGACCAAAACATTTTTGTTGTTTAGAACAGGAAAAGCCTTTTTTCTCCTCTATATCAGGCATTTAGCATTTATGTGAAGGTTAAACGTGTAGGAAATGCTTTTTTACTGTTTTGACAGTGATGCCAGTGCTGTCTAATTCCCTTGTAGGCAACCACTGCCTAAACAATTGCAATTTCACTGCTCATTATTCCCCAGAAAGCAGTCACTTTTAAAGATCAAGGGAAGGCATATTTAAGCTCAAATGTCAGTAGTAACTGACCTAAGATCAAGGAATCTTAGAACAGTCAAGTCTAACCTATCTGTGTCAAGAATCAGAGTTTTGACCAAGAGGATTATTTAAGTGCTGGTGCTGCTCCCACCCAACATCAGCCTCTGCAGCACAAAACAGGCAGTTCTAGCATTTATAGTTATTGTATTACCTACCCTCTTCAGCCTTGACACACTTTATCAATGTTCTAACCCCAAAGACAAGGCATAGGCCACGCCTGGCTGCCAGATAAGCGCTCGCTACACTTTTTAAGTTCAGTCGAATCCTCTAGGTTACCTCTTGTCAGCATCAAGCACTGAGAACAATGGCACAAGATTATAGGGATCTCTTTTAGTATGTTTGTTCCAAGAACAAGAAATGTGTCTACTTTCCTCTGATGACCTGGTGAAACAAAAAAACCCTTCAGCACAGAAAATTTATTTATCATCAGTTACGAGCATTTGAATGTGTAATATCCAGTTTAAGGAGGAAAAAAAGTCTGTCTGTCCTAAGCTTTCTATAGAGACCTTGCAAACAGCATTATTCTTCTGCTTGAAACAGAAAGCAGGAATGTACATATCTGAGAACACCAACACACAAAAAACCCCCAAATCCTTCGGATATTAAGTGAGCCATTTAACTTAAGTATTTAAAACCTCTGCAATTATTAGTTTATTAGTATCATCCAGGATTTCAGATGTTCAATATTTCTCCTGAAGTTATACATAAATGCAAATTGAAATAAGAATCTGAAAGTCAAAATTGTATAACAAAACAATACTCCATCACAAAAGCGTGTAAAATTACAAGAATGCTTTTTTTTTTTTTTAAACACTGGCACTTAAGAGAACCATAATTTTGTAACCACAAAATTGCCAAATTGTCCCCCAAACTGGTAAGCAGGTATATGTGAAAATAGTTACAGCTGCCAGCACTTGAAGTTTTACTAAATATGCAAAAAACCCCTTAGCTTTGGTTTTGGAAGAGAACTGTATTTGACCAAATTAGACATTGTTGGTATACCATAAACATTTAACTTTTTAATGCAAAATTTAATAAAATGTACTTTTCCATACAACTATATTTAACTTAAAAATGGGCAAACATCAAGAGTGCGGTATAAAACCTAACAGGAAAAATACATCTTATCTCATTTTCAATTTGAGACAATATACAACTTTTTTTAAAGGGCTAAAACTAGAATTTCAAGAATACAAATATGAATTTACATAGATTTAACAAATAATAATGGTATCATTTATAGAAATCTTAGAAAGAAAATTCATTTCTTGTGGGCCATTTGCTACCAGGAGTTTCATGGTATAAAGCCCGTGGCCATCACCAGACCTGTCACCAAAAAATAATATGGTCATTTCATGCTTTTAACTTTACACATTTTAGGTACGCTCATCGCTCTCAGGTGTTCAGAGATTTACAAATATAACTTCCATTACATGGTAACAGAGTCACACATGTAAATTTCTCTACACCGGATGGACATACACTCTTCCTATGGGTCCTTCTAGGACGAAATTTAACATTCCCTCCCTCCCCACCCCCCAAAGTATTTAATTTCTGTAAAATTGAACTCTGTACTTCTCAACTCTCCAAGACTGGTAAATTCATGCAACTCGATAGAATATTACATTTCACAAAAATCAGAACAAGTATCAGTTTGCTGAGATTGAATTTTTTTGTTTTGTTTCCAGTTATGGAAGTATATTCTTTCATCATATGCCTATATATTTCTTTTCTTACCCTATCATGATAATGCAGGGTATGCAGATCAAAGCTTTGTTTATCAGCTGGTTATATGAAAGATGAAAACTGTAATATTCCCGTGATCCCATATGGGCATTCAATAAAGCAAAAGATGAGTTCCCCTCAAAAAAAAAAAAAAAAAAAAAAGAGAGAGAGAAAAGAAAAAGTGTGATTCTCAAGGGCACCTATTAAAAGGACAACAATACTAATAAAAAAAAATTGTATTTACTTAGAAGCATTCAGAATGTCAACAAAACAGCTGCAACTTTTTTTCTTCTTTTTTTGCAATTACAGAGTGGTATTCAGTTAACAGAACAACAATTATTTTTATGATGCATCAGAGACAACTGAAGATGAGAAATGAACTACATCCCCGAATATAACTAATTTGTGCTGTGCACCAACAAGAACCTGCTTTATAACTCCCATGCCAATTTACAACCCCCACACTGTACCAGGCAAGGTTAGTGGCCATTGAAATACCACTAAGGACAGGGCTATCTAAAGACACATTCGGTAGTGTGTTAACTATACAAAAAAAGAGACACTGTACAGTTTAAAAACAAATCTTACACAGCCTTACATTTCAATTTTGTTTTCTTTAAAAGGAGTGAATTGTGTACAGGGGGGTTAAATGCTTTATAGACAAGAAAGAAATTGCTCTAAAAGAGACTTATTCATCATCATCATCATCTTCATCCTCCTCTTCTTCCTCCTCTTCATCATCTTCATCCTCTTCATCTTCATCCTCATCTTCCTCTTCCTCCTTCTTCTTCTTGCTCTTCTCAGCCTTGGCAACTACTTTTTTGCCTCCATCAACCTTCCCTTTGGCCCGGTATGCAGCAATATCCTTGGAGAAAAAAAAGCAGGAAGAATCTCAAAGATTTAACCAGCCAAGTGGTCCGAGCCACTTCTAAACAGTACTTATGAAACCAGACCAAGCCAAGTATCTGCCCTTTCTCCACATCCACTGGGGTTGGACTGGGAGCTGCAGCTTCAGTTACAAGGTGAACTGAGGCCCAATGCCAAAGAAAGGGGAACCCTCTAACACAAAAATACTGGCACAAGAGAACACACTGCTTATGACTGCTAAGGTATCTCCACTGTTAGGCTTCTGTGAACAGGCTGGAAAAGCTGCTGCCTCTTATGATAAAGGCACAGCTGAGTCCACTATCCCATAAGGAAACGAAGTAAGGAGACCTCTTAAGGTCGCTTTCTAGCCCAACCTTCTACAATGCCTAAAGAAATGCACAGGAAAACCCTTGTTTGAGGCACAAAACTGGAATTATCCACCCAGAACACATGGAATGACCCAGCCTAACAGTTGCAATGTTATGCCTCAGCGAAGAGCAGTTACACAGAATTCTGCCTAACAGAAATTTACAAAATAAAAGGTACAAGAACTTGATTAAAGGGTAGACAGTGCCACCTTCTGCACACAGTAAATTTATTCCAGTAGTTTATAACGCACAAAACTCAGTTCCTGTTACAGGGAAGTCCGAACCATACCTGGAAGGCCAAATCAGAAAAGCAGTTAAGACCTCCCAACTTTGTGCCAAAACAGTAAGAACAATTAGGTAAGAGAATTGATCTACAAGACTTAAACACACCAGCTACAAAACAACATCAACATGTTTATGCAGATCTTTAAATAGTTCCCATCTAATAAACACTACATCACTAATCTTACAGGTCCCCTGGACTCCCTTGAAGCTCAGCATGAAATTTTGAGAAGATACAATAGCCACTAACTCAAAGGCCAAGCAGTGAAATACCGAGATAACTCCACCTTAAAACCCATTTCTAAGTGTAAGAAATAAACACAATACTAGTGAAAACTAAAGTATCTCTGCATAAAAACTAATAATTCTACCATTTAAAGAAAATGTCTTAT